AAAATTAATGAATTAAGCTAAAATTGCTACAGTCAAAAGAAAAAAAATATTAAGCTACCTCGTTTTGCAAATAATTTGCACATTCGCACAATAACACACACAAAGGTAATAAACATTTTATAATTTTGTGATGCTATCTCCAACTCGAGTTCGTTTTGTAAGTTGATTTCAAGGTCTGCAGCCTAAATCATAATCAAATACTGTTTATTTTTATATCAATGAACAATGTTTTTTTAAAAAAAGGATTTTTCTTCATATTTTACACAAAAATATTTTTCAGTTGACTGTACATTTTTATTTCCGTTATCATATACATATGAGTGGTCCCAATCGCCGGAAGAAAATTATTATTTATTGCGGATCCGGCTACTGGGACCGCGTTCCGAGGATTTATGGTCCCAGTCGTCGAAGCCTTGTAATTTTAAACATAGATATAAAATAAAGAGTAAGATTAAATGAAAAAAATGTCCCTGCTTTAATGTAAGTAACTATGAAAAAATAAAATATCCTCACTTTCAGTCGACACATTATGTCACGTCAAAATGAAAAATTGTTTTGAAAAAGTCACTTCGCTATGTACCTGTTATATGGCACCCCTATTTTCTGAAGAAGCATTATTTACTTCCCTATTCTGTTAACTTTGCTTGAGGGGTCTACAGATATATTGAAAACATAAATTCAGTTTGAAGTCACAAATACTTATTTAGCATGCAAGATATATTTAAGATACTGTGAATTTAACCTCATATGTACCAGCTAGTCTTTAATCTTGTCACACAACCACCTGATATTACTCACACACTCACATAGGGGTGAATAAAATTGTAAAATCTAACATCAACAGGTTTGTTTTCAATCAAAATTAAACATATCAAAATATCAAGTTAAAAAAACAACACAAATATATCAGCATAATTCAAATGTCAACTTATTTAATGCAACTCAATTTTTGCATACTATTATTTGCAGTATAAGAAACTAGATTTATGGGTGTTATGAATACGAAACAAAACTAAATAATGGTACTGTTTAAACCTTTTTGTTATTTATAATCATTCTTTTGCAAAAGGGTCAGTTCCATAGATTTATATGACTATGTGTTTTACATGAGATGCCATACGAGAGCTAACAAAGTTGTGTCATTACAGGATATGTTAAAACGGAATTGTGATTCTCATCAGTCAGTTCCAACTGTTCATTCAGCCCCATCTGCTCTGAATGTTTTTATTTCCATTTGAGCATATAACCGAGTTTCCCGTAAATAGCTGATGCTGTTGATGATTTATGAATCCATTCAATGACATGTAATTGGAAAAGTTTTGGTTTAGTAGATCCAGTCCAATTTTGGTTTGACTACATATAAAAATGATAGGATTTCAGATTTCTTGGTAACTTCACTTATGACTAGCATCTGATGCATACTGGAGTTGGTGATCACAACTACCTACTTTGGCTTAGGAATATTACCTCTTTTGATAGAGAGTCACTTGATTACCTTGTCTAAAAAAGTAGTTGTACAGCACAGGTGTAGAATAATCATATCTTACTCGCAGCATGCATTTTACGCCACAGCAAGTACTGACAAAACTTTAATCAACAAAAAGAGAAGTTGAAGGATGTAGATAAAGATGTAGAAATAATAACAAATCTGATGTTGTTGGGTCTGAGCAACTTATGCCAGGTGATTCAGTGCCCACATAAAAAAAGTAATTACTAATAAGAATATGCATTTCTCTTCTTCTAATTTTTCACCATTCCATGCCCAATAGGAAAAGCATCTTAAAACTACTACATTTTAATTGTTAACCAGAATGTTTACAAGTGTAACACATTTTTTGTAACTTCCTAGAATGAAGGTCACAATTTGTAAATCTATTAAGTAGACACTAAGTACCAACTTCACAGATAGATATGAGTTATTAATGTGTTTTCACACTACAAGTTTTACCTTCTAGGTGCCAATATTATATTTACTTAGTTTGATATCTAATAAATTCATTTATGCATGGTAAATAGAAAAACAGACCAATAAACCTATTTAAAAACAACCACATTGAAATGAATAAATCTTATGAATAAATTGACCAGTCACTGATTCTAGTATGTACATATATACACGCTACTTATACCTATTTGAAAGATTAACTTATGATAAATTTGTATTTGACAAACTTTTGTCCCTATAAGATGTTATAGTTGCCAAAACAAACCTACTTCATCAACAATAATTACATAATATGTATATCACAAACATACAGACTATAACAAGATAATGAGAAGATAGAATTCCAAAGTTTAAAAACAATTTAAACTTACTTTTGTCTGGTACCTACGAGAGACAGGTGATAATTACTGTTATGATACAGCTGACGTAAAGCAACTACCTATTGTGTTTGTCTCTAAGAAATTAAATATTAAAATTTTGGCCACTTACTGGTCACACTGTGAAGTTTTAGACTCGTTGGGAAATTCTGCCATTCCTTGAAATAAAGCATGGAAACTTCAAGAACTTATTATTTTGTCGGATTCTTAACACTGAACTGGTTCAAACTTTGCCAAAGTAACACTAAAAGGGTCTATCACGTATTAGTAATCAGGACTATGCAAAATATCAATTTATAAGCACTTTTATCAAAGTTTTATGTAATTAAACCTGTCAAGAAACGATGAAAAATACACTTTGCTACGTTCGGCACACACATATTCACACAAGTTTACATTTCGACAAACGTCAAACGGGCGCGTTTCGTTATCTTTGATTTTTACAACACTGCACTAAAAGCATACATTTGTAGGAATGTAGGTAAAGTGAAGACAAGGAAACAAGCTTTTTATTGAAAACCGAAATAATTTAAATAAATCCTTACATTTCCGTGAGTAAATTATCTCCATAATTTATCAATCATTTTCAACTGTCCGATATTTTATTAAATACTTTATTTATTTAGTAGGATTAGGTTTAAAAAGTAGAAAATATTTTTTCAAATTTATTATAGGTGGCGACACCGTAGAGCTCTCCTACAAACCGCCATATTGTTTATTTACAAGTTTAGCTTGTGAAATATATTGGAAAAATTAGGAAAAATTAGACAAAAAAATGATCAAACAGACATCAAACTTCTTTAATTGACAGAAGCAGAAGGCACTCGATTAATTTGACTTGTTAATTTTAAAACTTTATAATTGAGTTGGGAGGTACTTGTCTTACCGCCCCGTAGGCCATCTTCATCTAATACATAGTATTAAGTACTAGTTAAGTATAACTTAAGAGGCACATTAGTTCCTATGAATTCTGGTACGAAAATTGTGCATTAGTCAAAAAAGTGAGCTGGGGTATAGATGTAGTTCGTAGGTAGGTAGGTAGGTGCTTACTTGAAATTTAAATAGGTACTGGCTTGAAAGACTTAGTTTCCGTTTTATGACTCTAGATAAATTTGGAGATCTTAGTGGCAGAATCATTTAATCACTCTCTTAGTTCAACATTCAAGAATCTGCAGAAAGTTAACGGGCCTTTGTCGAAAACAATTTACAGATAGCTACAATACGGCTATTTCAAACAAAGAATAGGTATAACCACTACGTTTAATTTTAAACAATAAATCCTCCCTTTTTTGACACCCAGAGAGAAGCGAGCCGGAATTTCAAACTTTTACTGACTGAAAACCAGCCCGATGCCGATGCCCTTTAGAGCTTTATTTAGGTATAAATCATGTGTAATCTATAAGTAAGTCCTCGTTATGGAATAATTTTCTCTTAGATTTGCATTGGTTACCTACTATTTTTTTTGTGTTGTTTCTAAGGGCAAACTTATTAATCACCCTGAAAATCACTCTAAATGACATTTCAAATAAAGTGTTTTTTGAACCCCCCATTTTCTTTCAGTTTTGACTGTGCTATGGTTGCGCAACCGACTGAAGCGCTACTCGTCGCAGGTTCGATTCGAAATAGATAGGTATAAGGACACGTGTAATCTTCATAAATGTACCTACCCACGTAAACATTCGTACATAATTTATTTGCACAAATTCAATCTGCACTCTATTGGACGAACGAAATGTGACGTCATCATTCGCGTAATCACTGACAACGATATTTCAACTAATTTCAAGTTTTGTAGATATGATAAAATTAAAATTGTCTTATGCATTCCCGACTTGCTTTCGTGAAACGAGGCTAGGTTAAAATAGTCCCATCTTGCTTCTCTCACCTCACCATGCTTAGGAGATACGCCTCATGACATAAACCATGTTATTCCTACTATTTAAGTGTGGGGGAATAATAGTTTTACTACAAACCGGCGCAAAACAACACTTGCTTTGTGTTGCGTCGAGTAAGGTAATTCGAGGTCTTTTCGTCTGACTAAACGTCATTTCCCTCCCCCTCCCAAATTCTTTACTCCTTATTATATTGGTATTGCGGGTGTCCATGGGCGGCGCCGACAGCTTATAAAAGATAATGTCTGCTGGTTTGCCGCCTTATACCTTCAAAATATACCAATCCTTATGACTTACCGCTTGTGCTTGGCACAAGTGTCTTCCTCGTTTATATCAACGATGTAGATCCATCAACAATTTTATTCAGGGTAAAATATTTTTACCTATATATGAAGGTAAACAACACTGCCATATTTTTTTCCACGAAAAGCTTTAGTGTAGAGAATTGCGAACAACTCTATTGTTATGTCAGTAACTGGGAATAGCGTACCTAACTATTTTCAATTTCAAATCTGAGCCCAAATAAGTTGACTTCAAAATACACTCCTGCGATTAATTATTTATCACTGGTTGCAAGCAAAAATTTTTCTCTTTTTACGTCATAGACCGATAATAAATTCAATAATGTGGATTTCAAATAAGAGATTTCATAAATCTTTAAAATTTTTTCATGACAGTTGATTATTTTCTAAGGGTTTAGCGTTTTGTATTAAAAAATAGTTTTAAACGACTGGTTCATACACATATGTGATAATCGGTGATAATGGTAGGTAAATAAAACGACAATGTCAGTTCAAATGTGTAGTTTGGCATTTATTGGCCTACATTAACAATTTCTTACCTTATATAAATTTAGAATAATTACAATGAACATAAAATACTAAGAATTATTTCCAAATTGTTCAGTGTATAAATTTAGGGTTTATAAATTTGAAATATATATCCTAACTAATAAGATTCTTTGATCCGACTAAAGTATTAATGTTTACAAGACTCATCTCCATCGCCACGTTACTCAAACGTTGGCCAATTATGGCCGTATTGCCTGCATCAGTTTATTAAAATACTCGTATTATGTTCGAACATTTGAACTTATTTTTATCATTAATTACACAAGTTGACTTGACAGACTACTAACAAATTGGGTAGTGGTGGCTTGTCACAGGGATACTACAAATATTTATTATAGCACACGTAGTAGTGGCCATTAATTGGCGAGAAATTGAAGAGGCGAGTCAGTGCTGTGTCACCACTAGTTACTTGCATGCATTGCTAGCTACTATTCGATTATATTATTTATTCATTACAATAACAGTCAATAGTTCAAGTCCTCATCTCCACACTAGTTGTTCAAAAGAGAATATTTTTATAAATAGAACACATTTGTAGACATTATGATTTATAGTACCTAAATGCATTTGGAATGAATATTGTATACAAAATAACAAAAACTAACTACAGTGTTGTTAATATTTTTGGTAAACAATATGAAATCGGAGTAAGACATTGAGTAAAAATAAATACATAAAATCACAATCGGTTAATAAGATCACTTGTGGGTATAGTGTACAATTACGTAGACAAAGATGAAACATCATCAAAAGATCAGGTAACGAAGGGCAGCGCGTGCTCCACGCGGTACCGCTGTCACGTCACCTACCTACAGTTACCGCTTACAACTAATATTTCTATTAATTTATAAATTAAATTATTGCCAATAGTGGAGCACTATCACAATTTACATTACAAAACTTCGTTTCAAAGTATTTGAGGGTTATTTATAATTATTAAAATACATAAGATTGTTAATAATAAGTAAAAAATCATGATTTAAAAATTCATGTCAGTAAAATTAAATTTATTTATAGTCAATAGTGATATCGTATCGAGTTAAAATGAATGAGTACATAATATTAGAGACGCGCAGTCAATAGAACGTTAGCTTAGATTGTAACAACAAAGACGAAGACGTCAGGCACTTACGTAGCAAAGTAAATTATTTAGCAACGGACGAATATTGTATCATTGTGTGCTTAGGTTATCCTACATCCTCGCCACCCGCACCATGCACTATATCGTGAACACAAAAGAAACTTTACAACTAATATTCATCTTTATATATTTACTTTATTTAATAGAGGCCGGATCCGTGTTAAGAAAAATATCCTTAATTTTTATTAGACCGTATGTAATTTTACATTTTAAAAAACATAAGTATGTAACGCTTTTGATATATACATAACTACATATCTTAATATAGTTTTGTATGTTTTCAGGATGACCTCCAACAGATATCAATCATCAAGGGATGTAGGGCCATTAGAACGATATCGTCGGACTCGGAATCGGACGATTTGACTCGCGTGCGAACTACAAAACAAATGTACAACGAGCGACAACTTAATCAACATTTATTTAAATAATATATCGCATCGCTGGACAGGAGCAGTGTGCCCATGCCGCGTACAACACCACTCGCTGTCTGTTTACTTCTTGGCGTTGGTGTCGTTCTTGGGAGCACGGTTAATTGGTATCTGTAATGAAAATAAGAAAATGTGAAATATGAAAACAGAATTACCTACTTATAGAAAACAAAAAAAAAATTTTACTTATTAGATTTATTTCAAGCTAAAATACTTGAATTGGACAAGAAATTTAGTTTATTATTATATTAAATACTTATTATCAATTGACTAATAGACAATCAGGGAACAAAGCGATAGATTTATATAAATAATAGTTACAGAAGCACGTTGGTCCTCCATGCGGCCTCCTTGAGCTCTCATGAGGAGCGAGAAGAAGTCATCGTCGGGCAGAGTGCCCTTGTTTTCGTTGCGCGGGCGCGGCTTGGCGGGCTCGGTGCGCGGCTTGGCGGGTTCAGGGCGCGGGCGGGGCAGCTCCGTGCGCTGATCTTCGAGGCGGGAGCCCTGCACGCGCGCGATCATCTCGAGGAAGTCGTCCTCCGGCTTGGTGTGTGTGGTGTGCTGCGCGCGTAGCCCGGGCAGGGACGTGCCAGGGCCCGGCTCCTTGCCCGTCGCCTTCTGCGCAGGTCGCAGCTCAGCCCGCTGCGAGTCCATGCGCTCCGACTGCAGGCTGTTGATCATGTCGAGCATCGTATCGTCAGACCTGCCGCCAATAAATCATTATCGTGTTTTACCGATCATCGCTTACCTATAACACTTTTTTAATTTGACGTAGTTTAGCCTTTGTCCTCTATCTCGTCTGGTAAGCAATGATTCGGCTCACGATGGAGTAAATACAGCTTATTAGCAACTTTTCCTATACCTTATCGTTATAACAAGTGATAAAAAACCTTGTAACACAATACCGATATGCCATCATAAAAATATGTAGATATATGATTATGAATGTGATACACATTAAAACAACAAGCAGTATCCATTAGTAAATTTTATATAATGTATAACCATTATATAGAATTGCAATATTATATGGAACAAATAAAAATCAGTAATTATCTTATGTAGCACTAACATCAAGGTTAAATATATGTAAATAACTTATTCTGTCCTGAATTGTTCTTTTAGTTACCACAAACAAGTGACCAATGCTCAACCAAAATACTTAGCTCGCCAATATTTCAGAGACGTGAGAGGCAAATTATCATCGATCCCACACTGCTTGTCGTCATATGTACGTGTTAACATATCGTGACCTTGTTGTAATATTACTAAACTACTTTGTTTTTATACCAGAGGCAAAACAGAAACAATGAGATACAATAATTTTAGAAAAACAATTTTTGTTTACATAGTACGTAATATCAGGCAACACAGGAACAGCGCCAATCCCGAATAAGAAAACGTTCAATTTCAAAGTGATACTGTTGATACCCACCCCTTACTATCTTCATCGTGAGCCTTCATTACAAGCTTCCAAAAGTAAACTCACAGAAAGTTATAACAAAAGAAACTGTAAGAAATGCAATCGACGCGGGATGCAGGTGAGACAGTCACTATGAAAATGGATTTTTCGTAGAAAGATATCTAAACGAGTAGTTCGCATAAGCAATGTGTCGTCATTCGTGGAGGAAGCGTTGAGAGGCACGCGCAGCTGGAAACTGTTGATAACAGTGTGCTGTTACTAGATATGGAGATCATAATGAGATAAGAGACGAATGTCCGTTCGCATTACTTTGATAATGAAATCGGTCAAGAGAACAGCAGGCGCCGCGCGCTGTGTTTGATATTACAATGCAGCCCCTGGGACTATGTTGACATGATGCATATATATAGGTATCTACAAGCAGGACGCAAGTGTACCTATGACCTACATCTTAGACGTACACGATACGGCGCTACTATTTTATTCCTACCGCTATCCATGTAATACTAACAAAATCGTCGTCAACTTGAATTTATTAGGTACTATGTACAAGGTTGCTAGATATCACAAATAAGATAATTGTTATATTTATTAACTTAACGGCATAACGTTCAAATTCATAGCGCATTGATTTTATAGTTTAATATTTTAACTAGTAAGATCGAACTGGCCCGTAACGTTACTGTAGTTTGCGTGAATTGATGAATATCGCGTTGGTATAGTCCATATTGTCAGTCTAGTATCTTAGGCTTGCCAAAGTATTATTAATTTTACGTTACACAATTTATGCAATTTGTTCGTCACTACAATAATTTGTCTTTTTAAAATAAAATCTAAAAATCATTGTTCTTTTGTGTTTATGGAATTGCTTATTATATGTATAACTCTGGTTTACGTAGAGTGCGAATGCGAAATGGTATCGATGCAACAGGTCCTCTCCTCAACAGGTTACAATTTGAAGTATGACAATAAAGTTTAATGTATTTTAAAACTGTTATGGTGTTTCCTATGTACCTATATTGTTAGCAGCAGTATCGTGTCATCAGAGTAGAATACTTTTCTCGTCACATTTTTCTTCCCGTGGTCATCTTAAGAACCAACCCACGGGACTATATTTAAGAGAAAGAAGTGAAAACTATAGGTGTAGACTGTCACGGGATGTTGGTGATGAAGTACTCACCCCATATTCTGTAAATTGTTGTTCGGCTTGGGCTTATGTCGGTTCTCCTTGTTGCTGTTCAGGATGGCGCGCTGTTCGTCCATGCGCCCCGACTGGCACCGCAACACCAGGTCGAAGAACGACTCCGGGTTGTCTTCGGACTCGCTGCGCGCGATCTCTTTTTTCGATTCTGGCTCCTGTTCCTTCTCATTCTTCTTCGAGTCAGGAGTAATCTGTGGGAAAATGGCATTATAAATATCAAATCATCATAAACTTTTGATAAATAAGCAAAGTGAACTCCTACAAACAAGTATTGCTGACCTGTATAAGAGACAATTGCTCCATGCTTTGTCTCCGGACTCGTAGTGCGTTGAAAGGAGTACGAGGAGCACTGTCATCATCAGAGGGAGGCGCGGGCGGAGAATCGTCTGCCTCCGCCGGCATCCCCAGCACCTTACGGAGATCGCTGATGTTCATCTGGGCCGTCGCCATTCCCAGCACGTCACCAAGCTACACAAACACATATGTGATGTAGCCACTTTTAACACTTCTACAACAACAGGTTCGAATCAATCGATACCGCCTATACGATACGCGTGACCGTTCACGTATTCCGACAAGAATAGGTTAATCGCTGTCTAAACATCGACGTCCGTCGAGGCGACTTAGGTATGCACACCACAAATTGCTGGAAAACGTATTTTCTTGTAATTGGATCGATAGCGCAGTCCCTATTATGTACATTCTAAATTACAAATGCTATTCTTAGTAACGATGGAGTCCATCAAAGTAGGATTATTCTGCAGAATTACATTTAAGCCCACTGGCACACGAAACACAGCAAGTCTCATCAGAATATATTTATACACTTCGTGTTCGAACAGCACCTATATTTCTTCTTGATTTGATGACATATAGATATAAGAGTTACCGTGAGCCAACAAAACTAAATTAATTTATTTTTAACACATGACGATGCCAATTAGGCTGTAGCGTAGCGAAGGTAAACAAAAAGGAAAAAAGCATCCCAAAACAACGGCACTGCACTGGCCGGGGCGAAAAGTTTGCTGCGTACCAATACCAAGGCTGAACGTATTGTATACAGTATACTAGTCCTGCTATACCCAGTGTAACTTTTAATTCTGTACCGACAAAAATACATAAAGTCTAAATTAATGATCATTTGTCCTACCAAAAGAGGTATTTTAAAAGAGGACGGTACATATTCATGGTTTAAAGTCCTCCACTCCTCCACTAACGAAGTAGGCTTTAGAGGTATGTTAAGGAGCAGTTCATTTCAATATCTGTGAGTCAGCAAAAATCGTGAGTTCGCCTCGAGGCTGAAGTGAGCGATCAAGTCATCGGGGCCGACGGGGTGCCAAACAGGTCGGTCTCACGTTCTATGTATGTTATCAGGTCGTAGGACGATGCAGACGTGTATTAGGGCCGTGAATAGGTATAGCCTAGCCTATAAATAGTTAATTCTAGCTATTGCATGCATAAGTCACACCTCCGTCTCATAGGGGTAGGCGGGACCTACGGAGTGCCAAAGCATTAATCACAAGCACGACGGCAAACTATAATTTCAGCCGTTTACAATAACACTTAGAACGTAGTTATATTGGACTATACCGTTAGCGCAGTGTGCTTGATAACCAGCTGCTTCATAATGCTAAATGGAGTTTCTTCTAAGAGCAATTTGTATGTGATTTTTTTATTTTAATAGAGCAAAAGCAAGTTTTATGGAATAAGCTAGAAATGATGGGAAAACCTAACAAAATAAGTGATAAATCGATTTGTTCACACTCCAAATTAATTGTAAACATGAATAAAACGACCAGTTCGATCAACTGAATAGCAACAACTTGCCACTTGCCCCTTGCATCGACTGGCTTTCTGCGACCGCGACTCTGACGAAGTATTTTGTACACCCCGCAACAACTTGGCCCTTGCATCGACTGGCTTTCTGCGACCGCGACTCTGACGAACTCTTTGGCCCACCCAGCAACAACTTGCCACTTGCGTCTTCTGGCTTTCTGCGACCGCGACTCTGACGAAGTCTTTGGCCCACCCAGCAACCACTTGCCCCTTGCATCGACTGGATTTCTGCGACTGCGACTCTGAAGAAGTCTTTGGTCCACCCAGCAACAACTTGCCCCTTGCATCGACTGGCTTTCTGCGACCGCGACTCTGACGAAGTCTTTGGCCCACCCAGCAACAACTTGCCCCTTGCATCGACTGGCTTTCTGCGACTGCGACTCTGAAGAAGTCTTTGGTCCACCCAGCAACAACTTGCCCCTTGCATCGACTGGCTTTCTAGGACCGCGACTTTGACGAAGTCTTTAGTCCACCCAGCAACAATTTGCCCCTTGCGTCGACTGGGTTTCTGCGCCGCGACTCTGACGAAGTCTTTGATCCACCCCGCAACAACTTGCCACTTGCGTCTTCTGGCTTTCTGCGACCGCGACTCTGACGAAGTCTTTGGTCCACCCAGCAACAACTTGCCCCTTGCATCGACTGGATTTCTGCGACAGCGACTCTGTCGTAGTCTTTAGCCTATCCAGCAACAACTTGCCACTTGCGTCTGCTAGCTTTCTGCGACCGCAACTCTGAGAATGACTTTGACCTAGCGCGAAACCTATATTTGCTTTTAGACCGTGGTCGCCAATAGAACTGTAATCACTATGAGCATTTTTAGAACTGTGAAAATATGGACGCAAAAAATATTTTGGTTTATTCTGAATAAAGAACGACGTCTTAGTGTCGTAAGCCACTACAGGCAATACACAACTTAAAAATATGTTCCCGAACGCTGCCCCCGAAATTTTCGGGCGCTTTCTTTATAAAAATTGGTTAGACAATACGTCGAAGGTCTAGAACTTCAAGGATATGATATTGAATTCAGATGAAATATCAATATATGACCTGATTTTCGTCCTGTCAATATTCATGTAAAGGAGTTACTGAACTGTTAACTGTAACGGTATTAAGGTCACGAAGTGAAGGGTTATTTTCTGTGGTGCACATTATGCAAATTACTGATGTACATGAATTTCTAACAACACACAAACAAAATACTGTACTATACTAACTGTTTATTTTTTTATTTAACTAAGATTATTTTTGGTAGTAGTATAGTTTCGGCGGGGATATTAATATTACTTACTAGAAATTGCATACATGAAGCAAATTAGGACAATGAGACAGCTATAGATATTACATATAATACATTAAGGTTTCAAGAACTCTAGTTCAGGTGATCCCTAGGTACAAATGATGTCAGCAGATAGTCAATGTACCTCGGAACTATGGTGGTTGCGAGGATGTGAGGCTGCGGCGACGGCGGCGAACCGATAATGAGCTACTGGCTAACCACAACCACACACACGCACACACGCATACCTAGACGGGCAACGCAGTAATCTAATATATGAAGGTACTTCATCATATTTAAGTGCATTTTCATTTGAAATGACAAGAGCAATTAGAAGTACTGCGTCGTTACCTTTTTTGAAAATGTTATTTTTACTATTTATATTATGTTATTATACTACTTATATTATGTGAAAGTGATAATACTGTAAGTTATTAGTTATTCATATATTTTACAAAATAATGAATGATAATTTAAATTAATTTAAATTCGTATACAATTTTGCTAGCAACAAAAAACAAAGAAATCAATAATGCACTTCTTTTATTATGCAAGATACACACGGCGCCTTTACAAGCTAGAAATTAAGTCGTAAATTTCTTTTGTCAGGAATTAAACGAGCTACTTAATTAAACATTCATTCAGATCGATACTAACAGTACAAAAATGTACATACAATTAATACTTAATACTCACCTTTCTGAAGTACAAAGACAGATTTATGCCCAATTACCGTAGACCCGGAGGTGACCAACAACGTAAGTACGCGGTACGCTGTAATTCGAAATCTAGATAGGTCAATCACTCCTGGTGGCTGACTGACATGTGCAGTAACTAGCTCGCTGCACCAATAGCGGAGCTGACCGCCGGACCCGGGCCGGTGCTCGACTATAATTTTAATATCTTACCTTAATAGGATACTAATTAATTTCCCGCAACGTTGAACTTCTACTATATGAGCGGTCACGTAAAATTATTTTCAGTTGTAATTAGAGTTTGTAAGACACCGCGGAGTTTTCTTACGACCGCCAATGTTTTGTGTTAGCGGGGTTTCGCGTTCGGGAAATGACGTCGGCTTTCAACAAGTTACCTGTTAGCTGTAGCCAGGCTAACAAAGGGCGCATGCGTGTCGTTGCGTAAACCTACCAACCGTACCGTTTAGATTTTGGCGCGAAGGGTTCGTAGCCGATCGAGTGATGTCGGCTGCACTCGCGGCTGACGACCGAAACCCCGGAAAATATTGTTGTTGTTTACTCCAGACAGAATATGCAACAGGGCGGCGCGCGCCGCGACGCATTCATTGCGCCACGTGGCTCGTCTATACTATTAATTTATAATGTATGCAGGAGTACGCTTCACTTTTGATTTTATTTTTATATAGTACGGCTTTTGATTTCCTGTAGTCTCGTACGTTACGAAAAGGCTCGACAAAAAGCTCTATAAAGGAGAGCGAGAACTTCTCTTCTATAATTTAAAATGTCGCGACATTTTATTTCTTTTTAAAAGTTTTGTTGGAATTTAGCCAATAGCTATATGTACAAGTCCATACCGTAAGATCAGATTTTTGGGTATACAAAACTGATATGTCTAAATTCGGTACTAAGTGATTTCTTGTCACTTTATAAAACACAACTTTTAATACCTAACTGAAAGTATATATGGCACGTAGTACCGACAATATTCAACAGATGGCGTAACAAGTCCTACATTTTTTTTGCTAGTTAAAAATCATCAAATGACTTCTCCCGCCCAGGGTAGGGCGGGAGGGAGTGTCAAACTCTTACTGCCTAAAAACCCCCCGTTCCTTCTCCTACTCTGGGCCGAGGTCACGGTGCCTTATTGCGCTTATTCCGCAACTACGGCTGAACATAAGCCCTATAGGTGGTCAATTGGCTCTATGAGGCGCGCGCGGAACGCCACGCGCCGTACGCTTGGGAACAAGTCCTACATGTGAAATGAAATGCAATATGTTTATTCGGCAAAACGCATAAACATGCATATACATAGTCTGGCCATAAATACTGTTACAATTGAAAATAAACAAAATATTACATTTGAATTTGGAATCTATCGTATTTATATAATTTTTCATTGTGTTTTCTTTCTTATTTCGGCGCCAATAAATTGTTCAATATTTTGCGATATTAAAATGGAGTGGGGTGATAAAGAGAACCGAATCGCTGTGATTGCATTACAGTGGTTATGGAGCCAAATGCAATTTTTAAAACTCTCTGCACGCTTGGCATTAGTCAAATGTTTGTGTACCGGGCTATTAATAGGTACAATGAGACCTCCTCTGTTTGTGACAGAAAAAGATCTGGCCGTCCACGTAGTGTTCGCACGAAAAAGGTGGTCAAAGCAGTAAGGGAAAGAATTCGAAGAAATCCTGTCCGAAAGCAAAAGATTTTATCTCGGGAGATAAAGATAGCACCTAGAACCATGTCGCGTATTTTAAAAAACGACTTAAGACTTACAGCCTATTAGAGACGCACTGGGCATTTTTTAAATGATAATTTAAAAAAGAATAGTGTGACAAAATCTAAACAACTACTGAAGCGGTACGCAAAGGGAGGTCACAGAAAAATTTTGTTAGGACTTCAGTGATGGTTTGGTGGGGTGTTAGCTATGAAGGAGTGACTGAGCCATACTTTTGCGAAAAAGGTATCAAAACATCGGCATAAGTGTATCAAAATACCATTCTTGCGAAGGTAGTTAAGCCCCTTAACAAAACCATGTTCAATAACCAACAATGGTCCTTCCAGCAAGACTTGGCGCCGGGTCATAAAGCTCGGTCCACGCAGTCTTCGTTGGAAATGAATGTTTCCGACTTCATCAGAGCTGAAGACTGGCCGTCATCTAGTCCCGATCTTAATCCGCTGGATTATGATTTATGGTCAGTTTTAGAGAGTAGGGCTTGCTCTAAACGTCATGATAAATTGGACTCCCTAAAACAATCCATACGATTGGCAGTGAAGAATTTTCCCATGGAAAGAGTGCGTGCTTCCATCGATAACTGGCCTCAACGTTTAAAGGACTGTATTGAGCCAATGGAGACCACTTCGAATAAGCTTTTTATGTCTTAAATTGTTTTATATTTATGTATTAAACTTACATACTGTAAAAGTAATAAATGTTATTAGCAATAGAAAATATTTTTTTTTTTATTTGTTACAGTATTTATGGCTAGACTAGGTATTGTGTAGTTCGTGCGCGAATAAACACGGGTAGTAAACGTAAAGTTCCAACACTCAACTGTTGGGCAGTAGCTCCCAGACTGATCACCTCGCCTGGTCGGAAGATCCTCCTTTTCCGATGTTAGGAAACTATAATTATTATTATGGACTAGCTACTGCAAGCGACTTCGTCCGCATGGAATAGTGAGACAGAGTAACTTCCGCATTGATAGCATTGCATTGAAATAAAATAAACGCAGAATTTTGAGTAAAACTTAGCAACACATTGAAACAACTCTAAAACCGAATAGTTATTGATTTTTAGCGCGCCACAAAATATATAGTTACTGACAATCTTATAATAAATCTGTTGACAGGTCAAATCTGTACATGAAATATAAAATTAGCTGTGCCTGCGACTTCGTCCGCTTGGTTGTGGGTATGGTATTAATAAGGATAAAATTTACCACACACTGTTTTGGGTTCTATTGCGTATGTACAGACATCGAACTTTTACAACGGTACATACGTACTATTCAAAAAGGGCTCTTACCGCTACTATGCTTTCACTACGCCATTAGATCGCGCCACGGAATAATCGGTGATCCGGTAAGGAGGTCCGCCACCTCCCTAGAGATCTTGGTCGTGGTGATACGATGATTCATATGGCCATAACCATCTGGACACGACCTGCAGTTAGGGTTTAACTCCAGGTCGGAACGTAGCTCTGAGTTGAAATGTATGCATCTATGCATTTACAATGTATTTTTTTTTGTGTCTGATACAATGGAAGACGAAAGGTCAAGCTGCTGTTGCGAAGTTTCATTTTAGCAAATCTTAAATCTACAGCGCTCCTTGGTTGATTGTAACAGTAACGACTATCTAATAAAAAAAACCGAAACCGAAAACCGCATTAAAATAAAGACAAGGTACATATAGGTAGGATGCAGAGGTGTTCATTCGAATGTATGAAAAATCTAAACTTAAAAAATAGTTTGCATTTGCACATATAGTTGAGTCCAAAGAATGGATTGATGGTAATTTTTATTCTGAAAATAATATCAATTATGTGGAAAAAAACTGCATATGCATATTTTTTTAACAATGGAAAAGATTTGTTTCGCTTTTAGACCATAGTTGCTTGAAATTCCGGTCATAAAATACTAATAATATTGGTAGCACTATTTGGGTCGGGACTATTTGGGTAAAAGCAAGTGTGTCTTTTTGATATTTGCGAATCCATACAGTATAAAGTACAGTTTTTATTATTGAAAACACATTTTGAGAGTAAAGTGTATTTATTACCAGTATATTTGTGCGGAAACTACGCATTTAACAAATCGGCCTTTAGTAACCTACTTGTAGTTGTTAACGAACACAGGTACCTACTTTTTCTGGTTTCACAATTGTCAGTGTCAGCGTTTAACAATCTTACAATAAAGAAAAACTAAAGGACTGAATCGATTTTGATGAAATATACTCAGCATAGTCATACAAAATCTTGGAACTTTAGTGTTGTGTAGTTTGTGTGGCAAGTGTCAGTTTGAGTTTTTCTAAATAAAATATTATTTACAATTATTTGTAATTTGCATGCCTAGGCGTTATATAGTTGAACTATATATTTTGATAATAGCTTAATATAACCCATATTAGCGAATAAATGAATTTGAATTTGATTTAGACACCACTGACTGATAGGGAAGTTTGCTCACCTTCACGTGAGAATAATCTCCCCTTTATTTCTCTTACGATTTACTTAATATTATATTGTTTTTACCCGATTATGTATGTTAATCTGTTTCTTCGTAACTTTTAAACTATTTACTTATCAGATTTTGACAAATTATATATCGTTAGAAACGTCTTAATTAGGTAGTTTCCTAGGTCAAAAATAAATGAATTCAACTAATAACTATAATTTTATTCACCGACCGATCGATACACTAAGTTTTAGATGTTTTTTAGCTAATTATTAAGAAATAAGTAAGCTATTTGACAATTTAATACTATGACGTCATAACTCAGTTTTTCATACAAATTTCATAGAAAAGTATCGTTTTTGACATTTGGATAAAAATATTGAGTTTGTCTAATTCAAAGTGCTACGGTAGGGACGTATATTATGTAACATGTGAGTGCTCCAGCATTCTGAAAATATTATTTTATACATTTTCAGTGTTTTTTTTTTTTTGTCGTAGTTGGGTTTTAGTTTTTATACTTTGAATCTAATAATTCAAGATAAATACTTATTTATGCCATTAAGCGTATGAAAAGTATGACTACTTGGATCCTGCTTTATTCTTACTGATTTCATTGATTACGCAGCTAAAGTTTTGAGTAAAATCTAAAATAGATGAGAGGAAAAAACCTTAATAAGAAACTTTTATTTAGCGAACATTCTAAGGGGAGAATTCTTTAGAATGTTCTGTAACAGTTGTTCCAGAATTAATTCAACAACAATGTATCAGTAGCTACTTATATGGCATGCAACTATAGTACTTACTTCTTTGGATATGTTGTAGTGTTCATTGGCGAAATAAAGCGCTTTCTCATGGTTGCCGAGCGCGGCGTGCGCGTTGCCGAGGGACCAGCAGGCGCGGCCCTCGCCGACGCGGTCGTGCAGGCGTCGCGCAGCGGCCAGGTGGCGCGCGTGGTACTCCTCAGCCACGCGGTACTCGCGCAGCAGCGTGTACGTGTTGCCTAGCGAGTAGCACGCCTGAGCCTCCACCGCCGCGTCACCCAGCTCCTCCGCCAGTGACAGCGTGCGTCTGCAACATACTCCACATTATTTAACCTCGCTCTCTTAACCAACCGCCATCAACTTACGAACATTACCTAAACCTAATCTAACTGCAGCTTCGTTATTTTTATACATGCTTAGTTTTTTTCAAGGATTTTCTCCTGTGTCGTGGGTGCGATCACAAACATACAATTTCACATACACTTCACACCCAGACCCGGAACAACAATTTGATAACACAGGCAGGGCAGTTGCCAGGCACCGTGCTAACCGTGCAGTTATGTTATAATTCACAACCATAATAATCTTAAGTTAAGATGAGTAGTTATTTTAATTAATTGCGCTAGTTTGAACCCATTCGCTGTATTCATAGAAAAATCGCAAGCAAGCAGAAAATGTTTCACCAATTCATTACATAAAATCCGTTATTATTAGTGTATATATTTTTTTTGTATGTTACAAAATGGGATCAAGTCTAAAAACATAACGGAGCTACTGAGAGCCTGGCTTGAAAGAACAATAAACGTAAGGTTCAATTATTATATAAAAATAATTATTATTACAATAGCAAGGCAAAGCATCGTGTTTTTGTTTTTTGTCTTGTAAACAAAATATTATTCTACTTGTGAGTGGGTCACAGAGAACCGCATTAAACAACGCTTCTGTAGCGTGATGTACCTATATCTTCCCTCTCATCTCCAAACTGGAAAATGCTGGCAGTTTCGATAGGGAGCGCTGGTTGCGTACCATCAGAAGATCCGTCTGCTCGGATCTCTAATATAATTGTCATTGTAAATGTAATCGTCTATCTCAAATATAATTAGGGCAATTATAATGACTTGAAACTAGCAGAGTTATTTCGCCAATCGGTTACTTGACTAATGCCCGGTTTCTGAGGTACAGTTAACGGCAGTTTATCGATTCGATAGCGCTATTGGTTCGATAACTCTTACAAATACGTTTCTGAGCATTGCATTGTTAGATAAACTCCGTTTAAACTAAAGCAATCTTAACTCGCCATTTGGTGCCGTTTATCAGTTCCATAACTTTATTTGACGTTTCGAATGTCAAACTATACAATTTTTATGGAAGAGCAATGAATAGGAGCATATTAAATACAAGCAGTTCATCTGAGTACGATATGGAAATACTAGAGTTTATTTCTAGTATTTCTGTACCCAGAAACTTAAGACAAAGGAAATCCTTTAGAAATGTTTACTGATGAAGAGTTTACTTTAAGATATCGTTTTCGTTTTCCAAAGCAACCGACAACAATGTCTGTTTGACGTTTCTTTTTTTCTAATTGATACTGAGACGGTATTCAATACAGCCAATGCTAAATAACAAATTATCATTATATTTTAAATGGAACAGTTTTTGATATCTTAAAACTTTGAAAAAAAATTATTTACCTAATAAACATGTAATAAAGCTGAAATAGAATAAATAAAATCAAAATCTTGTTGTTATCCTTAAGAGACCCATCTATTGGCAAATTAAGGAACTTACTATCCTTTACATAGTTATTGAACGGCTCGTTGCGTATTCAGAAACGCAGTGACAGTTAACCGACGTTTATCTTATTGATAACTTTATTGAACCAACAACTATTTTAAACATAACCGACGCCTTCAGAAACCGGGCATAAGCTGATAAAACGTCATTGATTTACAGAGTTATATAATTATTATGCTCCTAGAAAAACAATGCGCAGTAGCAGCAACAGCATTCAAAATACAATCGCAACAAAGCTGGTATAATACTTCATACATTGCTACTTCATGGATAATATTTAACTGAGTATCGAACTGTAGCTACCGACCTCGTCAGTCAACATTCTCATGCATATGTACATGCCAGCTAAACATGTAACAACTTAGTAATCGCATAGCTTTGTTAACTACTACTAGGTATGAGAAACAAGTTTCGAATAATTAAAGTACTTACATAAGTACGTACAGTTCCACAGTATAAAGTAAGAAAAATGCATGCTTATTGCATTCTTAATTTGCATACAAATCCATTTCAACTGATATTAGTGTTTTCGTAAATAACACAGATCTTTCATGGCTGGCTGGTCCATATTACAAATATTTACGTAATAAATGTCAACGTACTTATAGTGCTCTGCGGCGTTTTCAAATTGCCCGAGGAATATGTGCGAGTTGCCGAGGTTACTGTTGGCGCGCCGCTCGGCCGCCTTATCCCCGAAGTCACGAGCTATCTGCAAGCGCTCGGTGTGGTACCGGATGGCCCGCGCAAAGTCGCCGAGTAGGTAGCACGTGTTGCCCAGGTTGCCGCATGCCCTGCCCATAGCCTGCCTGTCACCGAGGCTACGCATAAGCTCCAGGTTTTCTCTGCAAAACAATTAATTACCCATCTTAATAACATGTATTTTTAATTTATTTGATCTCTAGACACAGGAATAGTTGGACTGAGTATTTTTTCGGTAGTTCTTCTAGATTTTTTGAACATTTAATTATCTATTGTAACTATTTTTATATCATATACAACTATGATAATAAAATATAGTTTTTGTACTTAATGACCATTATAATATAATTACTATACATATGTACATATACTGGTTGTACTAATAACATATTCACATGCTTACTTACTCGTAATAGGCAACTGCCTGCAAGAGGCACTCCCGCACCTCTTGTGGGAAGTGTCCGGGGTCATTTTGGCCAACTCTGCCCAGCTGCTTTCCTTGAGCATGGTATACATTTCCAAGGTTATAAAGAGCACGTCCTTCGCTTAGTTTGTCGCCTAAACTTCGTGATATCTCCAGGTGGCGCTTGCAACACTGTATTGCCTCTGTAAACTTTCCCATCACTTTAAGTGTATTTCCTAAGTTACCTGAGGCCTTTGCTTCTCCTAATTTGTCATTCATTGTCCTGTGAATGTACAAAAATAATGTTACCTGTTACATTTTCATATTAAGGTGCACAATACTTATAAACACAATGAAAATATTTCTTTATAATCAGTTCCTTACCTAGCTAAGGTTAAATCATGTTTGTGGTACTGCATTGCCATGTTATAGTCTCCTAAATAGAAGTAAGCATTGCCCAGTTGACTGTATATAGCGCTTAAAGTTCTGAGATCATCAGTGCCTGCCTGTATAGCAGCCTGGAAGAAGGCCACGCCGGCGCGGCAGTCCCCGGCTTTACACAGGCGCTCGCCTTCCAGCGCCAGCTCCAGACACATTGAGCCTCCATCACAACTCTGATAACAAAGACATTTAACATATTGAAATTGCTTTAATTAATATATGTTGAGAACAGTGTAAAACAAAGTTTCTATGTTCCTCCATGATCGCTGCCTTTTCAAAACTAATAACATTTTTATGAGCTGAGTCACCCATTGATATGTCATTCATAGATTTATGTATTAAAATTGTGCTATCCTTTATGGCGGTTACGGGAAAGTCAAGTAATTTTTTTATAATATGATGACATAGGCAACTCTTTATATCAATACTCTTTTTCTTAAAGACACTTAAAAAATTAAAGACTAGAAGGAGAAATATTTGTCCTTTGCTGACCTCAGCTACAACAAGTTATCTATACTAAATATTATGTAAACAACTTAATATTAACTTGAATTAGTGACTCATTAAGCATTATGATTAATGCATCATTTGACATGGAAAAAGAAATGAGTCTAGAATGAGTTGTTCAACTACTTCAGCCAATTAAAATGGATACTGTGACTGATCGGGGTCATTGCATATTGGAGCGAGACACTTTATTTCAATAATAGCTTCTATCTCTACTTGAATCTCGGCTTTGTGTTTGGAAAATGCATTGTGCATATGAATTGGTGAACATCATACATAATTTTCATATTAAAAGAGATATAAATAGCTATGTAAATTAATAAGTTGTTTACTACCATTCTACAAATGTGTGTGGGTGTGTATGTGTGTATGTTTTAATTATTTATATTTGATCCATTATTCTTATGCTATTTCTGTATATAGGCTATAATTACAAGCAGCAGAGGTTTCACATTTCAATGAATATTATGTTGTAACAACACATAAACAAAAGATGACAAGATACATAAAGATCATCAACTGGTTGTGAAGAAACTAGTTTTAGGATATTTGTTGCATTTGTTATGATTCTTCTTTGGAATCAAAGAAGCTTGCAAGATATCTGATAGTAGAGATAGTTTTGAAGTATTTACAAAACTTTTAGACAAGTTTTTGAGCGAGTTAAAACTACGCTTTGTAATTAAAATCTGGAGAAAATGATGAGGAATACCGACATAAACGCACGCGCAAACGGGTTTAGGGCGGGAATAGTATTAGTGCGTAGCATGCGGATGTCCACACTTATAGGTCACAGTTTCCGTATTAGGTTCCCCCACATAATGACTCACTATTCAATTTTACTGACGTAAAATTAAGAAATTATAAAGTTTATTGAACCAATTAACATACTAGCTCTACCTAATTAGCTTCACACAATAACATAAATAAACGATATTTAAGTAACTTATTACGTTAAACTTACTTGTGCGTCAGTTGAGAGGTTTTCGGCCGATGCACTCACAGACATCCTAACGCTTAGTTATCAACGAAAAGATAAACTAAATAAAAAAATCGGTAGACTATCAGAATATTCTCATAGTTAATGTTTTCTATTTACTTTGCGATTTTAACTTCGCTGGGCGTGTACGTTCGTTGCACAAGTTGAATGCCATACATTACATTGGTCATTAATTTGATCATTGAATCTATGAACCAGCTTTGTTATTTTTTAAAGAATGGTCATTCATGTAGAACGATTGAATGAAAAGAATGGAAACGAGTACTGCTGTACACAACCGAAAATTATTATGCTATTATATACCGTGAATTTACTTTTAAATGTAAGACAGGTAATATTATTTATTCAAAATACTAAATTAGCTACCTATCAATAGTAAAACCAAATTAACAATGTTTTTAAGTTGCGATATATTTTTATTGGCAACATACCTGTTTGTCAAAACGTCAAATCTTTTCAGTGTTGCCATACAGTGTTTTCACAACGTCAAGACGATTTTAACGTTATCGCGTTAACGTTGTGTCCGTTTTCCAGTTTGTAATGTCAGCCGTTATTTTGCTCACCAGAACGCGCTTAGTGCGAATTGTCTCGTGTTTTCGATTAATGTGTACAGTGATTGAACAAACAGACCCCTATCTTGATTAGATATCTTCCTAAAACAGTACGTATCAGATAACGTGTAAAGTTTTTATTATATTACAGCCATTTGGATGAATTAATACCAATATTTCTTTTATAATCTCGTCTATAAAGAAAGACACTTACAATTATTGCGAAGTGAATAAATCTTTAAAATACATATTTGGAAATAATACACATATAAAAAGCCAAATCAAACGTTTGGGTCTAGCTAGTAACTAGCTATAGTCAGAATTTTAATTCGATTCCTGATTTGGCATTGACCACTGTAATTTTGTGAAATAATGATACCACAAATAACAGTGTAGTGATGAACACAAAAATCGATAAACAATCAGTGAATCAATTTCAGGAAGGCATTCAGAAAGTTACGGGTACCGAATGGTCTAAATGCGTACCTCATGTTGTCAAAAAAGAGGAAAAAATGAGTAAGCTAGATATGTTAATTGACAATAAAAATCACGGATACAATTCATAATAAATGTTACAGAAAGTAACAGCGATAGCGATAGCAATGACGGCGACAATTTATAAAATGTCTGTTTTATTTGTCACGTTCCTTCATGATCACATTTTTTATTAATTTCACACACAATTACAAAAGAAAAGTCTCAGATCGTTAATTAATTGTCAAAACTAAATTATGGGTTCAGAAATATTTAATTTCCTGATAAATTTAGTTTACGAGAGTAAAGGATTCGAGAGGAATCGATTCAGAAATATTCGATTTCCATATCGAATCATTTCGCAACGTCACTATTTATTACGTGTCATAGCGTTGCAACACTGAAATTGTCAAATCAGGAATGGAATTAAAATTCCGAGTATAGTTGAATATTTTTTAATAGGTAACTTCCAAATAGGTTTTTTTGTTCTTTCTGCTAGTCGAAATCTGACAAATTATTTGCTAAACTGTCATTTTTTTATGGGTATGAAAACCATTTACGAAAACGTTTAACGTTAAAGTAACTACACAAACGACAAAAGTTTCTTTACGTTATCGCAAGGGGCGCTGCTAATTTTGAATGAAAACGGAAAACGGATTCTTAATATTGAGGGTACTCAGCTAACTTATTTTTCTGTATTATTTTTGTAAAGGCTTTTAACACCAATATTATTTACAAAATACTACATTTATAGAAATGAAACACAAGCGCCATTCAAAGAGTGTTTGTCCGAACGAACACGACAACTTTAGCCAACAACCAATTAGAAGAAACTCGCTGGTTGTACCACTCTCTCCAATAGATGGCGGGGAGTGTTGTTGGCATTGCCTTTTGAGTTGAGTGAATTCAATAACGTTACACGGTATTAAATATATTTAAAATAAATAAAATGAACAAGCTGATGGCTAAACTGCGGTTTAGTCGATTTCCAAAATACCGGGTTGACTAGTTTCTTTTTTTAATATTACCTGTTTTAACCAATTTGAAAATTCGATGTTGTCGCCGCATTGGGTACTCGTATTTATTTAAGTAGTACTTAAACTATAGTATCGTACTCGTAATTATAGTATGTAGTACCTATGGAATTAGGTTCATAAGGAACTAATTTGAGCGAGCGAGCCAATGCATGTAGGTAGGTAGGTAGGCGGTTTTTTTTTGTGAGGGGAAAATTATCAAATGACTTCTCCCGCCCAGGGCCGGGTGGGAGGGAGTGTCAGACTCTTACTGACTAAAAACCCCCTGTTCCTTCTCCTGCTCTGGGCCGAGGTTCCGGTGCCTCATTGCGCTTACCCCGCAAACCCGGCTGAACATCAGCCCTTTAGAGCCCCGTCTGTGGTGGTCTATTGGCTCTTTGAGGCGTGCGCGGAACGCTACGCGCCGTACGCTCGGGCCTGGTTCTGGTCGGGCGGCGAGCTGTCCTTACTCGCCGGGGTAGGTAGGTGGTGAGTGTAGGACGAAAGAAGAGGCCCGTGATAGGCAGTAGATTGATAGAAAAAGAAAATTAAAATGTTTTTTATCACAAAACACATATAATTATTGTCATTCATTAAAAAATTTGAGACAATCTCGTACAGTTAGTTATTAGTAGATATAGGTACCTACCTGTTTGTACTGAGGTTGCCTCGACACTTCACTTAAACTACCTAAACAAAGTTAGACCTTATAAAATTGTTTGCTTTTTATTTATTTTTTGTTACATGTTACATAAAGCCTATAATTGTAAGTTATTTAAGTGAAATATCTAAAGTTAAATTAATTTGGATTAAAACTGATGACGGTGCAGGGGCGACCAGCACAGGTAGGTAAGTACAAACAGACCTTACCTAACCGGTGATAAGTAGGCAAGTTACATGGTAGCCTTCTGCCTGCACTATTTATTTATTTAAAAATAAGCACACCAACAATACAATCACCCAATGTTATACAAAAACACAATAATCAAATAATTGGATGCACAAGCAATTGTACAAATTACAGGTGTGCATGACATTAAAAATGAAAGGTTTTTGAGACTTATACAACTAAGCTAATAATTAAAAAAAAAAACATGTTAAAGCAATAACGATGGACACTGTTCACACTGTTTAAGTAGGGTTTTGAGTATGAGTACTATGCTATGAGTACCTACCTACATAGGCGGACTTTGGCATTTTCGACCAGTCGAGCCTTGGATGATGCAGAGATGAATGCCAATGGTCGGTGCAAGAAACAAGCAAACGACTTATTTTTATATGGGATATGATATACGAGATAGATACGTATTTATGTGTGTATTATTGACATACAAATATGTATGTGATGTAGGTACATTTTTTGTGTGCAGTGTGGAAATTATCGGATGTCTTTTCCCGCCCGCGCCCTGAGGGCGTTGTCAGCCTTTTGGAGCATTAGGGATTTGGGGATTTGGTCTCCAGCAAGCGCAAAATGTTTACCAAGCCGATATTCAGTTTATAAACATGTTTAAACATGCATGCATGCACATTAATGCACCGCCATGCATACCTAAGTGATAACACCCGAAGTTTATCACTTCAGGTATCAATTATGCTTTGCTCTCCCACACTTATCTGGACTGAAGCTGGAGTTTAATACAAAATATTATGTATTAAAATTAAATTTTCTGTATTATTATAGGTACGATCAAAATATTAACTGAAAAATGTATCATAGCTTAAACTTATACCCTAACTTCTCTCAAAATTTTACCTTTTCAGCATTTTGTTGTGAAGTCACGAGTAGTGTTGTGTAGAACGTCAAAAAATAGTAGGAAAGCAATCAGCGTCACCCGTAGATGTCCCGCAACGACGCGGGACGGAGACATAATGAGTGCGTTGCCGACCTTTTGGAGAATAGGGATGGAAAGATTTATAAATTGGTTGAAGGAAAGGAGTGGACCTCCGATAACCTCAATCACACGGCGAAACAACAACGCAATGGTTGTTTCACGTCGAGTTTGAGGCCGTCATTTGTTTTGTGTCGAAGTGTGGCACGTGGCACTCCCACCCACACTTAAACTTAACTATCATTATAAATTTGGTTAAAATTTGGTTAGGTACCTGATATTATAATTCTTAAATAACCTACCTACCTACCTACCTACCTACATTGTCTCATTAATTTCTGTCTTCTTCAAGATAAGTACCTAAGTATAGGTATATATGTTATAAAAGGCATCTTAAAAATCAATCTGTACTATGAGACATCTAAAATTAAAAATGGTAGGTTTTTATTCGGTTAACATGGCAATGGCGATATTTTTTTAAATGCGAGAGTACCTACCTACGCAAGCGTTGTTATAAATATGTACAGTTAAGTAAGGCTCCAATACAGTTAAGGCTGACGATCACCCGAGCCTGGCAGCCAGCAGCAGACGAGGGTTGCGAGGGGGTGCTCGTTAACTATGCAAATAGCAAGCGCGGGCGCGGGCGGGGGCTCGCAATCTGATTGACGACCACGCCCCATTCAACGATTACTTCTGCGACGACAAACTCTTAAAGCTTCATTGAGGCATCTACCTACTGCCAACACGCGATACTCTTGGTAAAATTCAGATCTAGGTACTGTTTATACGAATGATGTATCTTATATTTAAATAAACATAGTATTTTTTATTGATTATAAAAAAAAACTATCTAAATCTTGTATAAGTACCTATCTAACGTAGTTAGCTGTCTTATTTGTATTAAGTAAATATTATGAGAACTAGATGTTATTAACTTTTTTAACGCTCATACCGCCTTGATTAATGAGATTACTTAAAATGATTCAGGTTTTCTGAATTTTGCCAAAGTGCGAAATTATTTCAATTAATCATTTATTTTTATAGTCTTTGTATGGAGCGATAGCGAACAATGAATATGGGGGGGTAGTGGGGAATCGAATGTAAATATAAGTAAACATATGTACCTATATACAATACAAAAACGTAGTTATTGCTTAGTTAAATTCGTAAGCATCTGAAATAATGTTTTACCACGGTAATACTTACCTACCTTAATATTTACCTACTATCTCATTACCGTGATTTACATTTTCCTTGATAATAATAATTATTTATCGTTTTCTTGACATTCAACCTATACCTACCTACCTACCTAGGAAATTTTCAGATTGAGTACCTATGCTTTACAGTTTTTGATTGATAAGAACTTGAGAG